GACGAGATTAAATGGACGGATCACATTTAACTGTTAGTAGTCCTTCTCAGGACCTTGAAAATGAAGTGTAAAGGAAAAGAAGAGAATGGGAAAAGAAATTTCTAGAAATGCTACAAAAATGGGCAAATAATATCACTACATTGATCATTTTCCACAAACTTCTCAATTCCTGCTCTCAGACAAGAATAGAAACGAAACAGAGGAAATGGCACAATGAGGGCAATTCATGGCAAATTTTAGAGCATGACAGATGAGAAAGTTCAGGAGATCATGAAAAGGGGAGTATATTGAGTTTATGGGGAACTTTTTATCAAAATCTAGAAATGTCATAACACAGTGATTGAAAAAGTTGAAGAATTTTCGTTCAAACAGGCATGGCTCAAGGGCAACAGGGTATATAGTTCAACCAAGGTGAAAGGAGAATGAATCCTTTTGAATGCTAACAAAATCCACAAATCAGTTGCCTTTTATGTGGTGCATCACTTCCCTCCATCCATTCATCATTCCTCTGTTTAATTTCTGCTCAGCCTCTTCACCAAATTCTGAAGTACACAGTAATTTATCCCAGTATTACAGGCAATAGGGCTGATGTCCACATCTGAAGACCATTATAGCTGAGGTAGCTAACTGGTTCTGCCAACCTCTATTGCCTCTCCATCTCTCCCTGCAGGACTAGACAGGGTGTAGAAGAACAGGAATGGCCATGGACAGGCATCCATGGTTACATGGAAGTGGTCAGGAGCATAGGTCCCTAGAAAGTTTTATTCAGAAGCAAAGACATACACCAACAAATAACTGATCTGATGGTAAATTAGGTTTTTATCTGGTGATAAATAGTTGGGGTCAAATTTTGCTTTCCCAAAATAAATAACAGACAATGTCTGTGGCTTGAGCTAGAATAGGGTTTCACTGAGAGGGTTTAAGCTAAGTCCCTCTACAGTAAAATCAGAATTTAGCATGTTAACTCGCTTTGTAGACCTGAACATAATAGATTTGTCCAACAGCACAAGGAAATCTTGAAGTCAAGAGGAATTGTGTCTTCTCAGGAACATCATTCATAGCCTTATGTGGCATATGATTTCAAGAACCTAAGCAATGTGGTATCGTAGATGGCTAATGTCAAATTATTAATTAACCTGTTTAAAGAGAGATTTGATTTCACAGTTCAGCTTTGGAAAGTCTATAAAACGATGCATTTGTCCCCAGAAGGAATTCTGGACTGAATTTCTGTAATATCAGACAATGTATACACAAAAAATACGGTCCTTTCAAGGACACCAGGCTTGAGTAAAATGAAACACAGAACCATTTTTGACATAGATGTTTACTACAGACCAGGCTTTAAGTGAGTCATAACAGTCATATTCTTAATATAATTTTATTGTGTGACTCTTGGCACGTCCAAACTTCAGCTGGGTAAAAGGCGGGAAAACATTGAAATACTATGAGAAACTCCTTATTAGTATTATTGTGTTATTTTAATTTTTAAAAACATTAAGCTGTGGATTGTGATTGATGCAGCTGGTGGATATGGAAAGACAATGGAAACTTCCTGGCTTATTGGCTGTCATTATGTTATGTTTCAATCGCCTTTCTTTCCTTGCACGTGTTAAAAGTCTATGTAGAGTCGAGCAACATGAAATCTAAAATTAAATTGCCACTGTTACAATGGGGAGACAGAGTATGTATTTACTTCTAAAGACAGACGACTAAAGTTAGGACCCATATCTCCCTAGATAGTCTGTAGAACCAATGGAGTGGCAGGGGTTTCTCCAGAGATGAATTCAAAGTACCTCCCTCAGGTTTCTTCTAAGTTGTCTTGTGCTGGTGCGTGCAAAAACCGGATGGCACTTTGTCAACTGTCTAAACCACAGAATGAGTACATCGGCACTGCTGGTACTATCTATCCTTGGGATGGCAACGGCCCCTAGACAAAACAAAATGGATCATCTTTGCATTGCTCGACTTTGTCCAGGAAACATTTGGGGGAACGTTAGTTGGGATGGCCCATACAGGCATTCACAACTGTGTTCCTGTACTTGGGAACAGTCCCCTCTGCTTTTTCATTTACTAGCATCTGTGTAGCCACTCTCTGTGGGTATTTGGTATGCTGTGGGCTACCTGACAGGGTGGCTAGTGAGACCATGGCAGGTGGTCCCTATCTAATCTATGAAAGCATCTACCCTTTATCATCTTTTCCTGTTAGAATGTGTGATAAATACAGAGGTTTGTGCCCAGGAGCCACCAGGACATAGACGTGGTCTATTTGTCCATAGGTCAGGAACTATTAGTGATACATCATGGGACCTATTTTAATCAACTGTATTCCAAGCTTCCTCTTGATGTCAGGGAGATTTTGCTGATTTTTGGGGTGATTAGAGGCAAATACATTTGCCTACTTGACATCTTTTAGTGAGTTTCGATACTTGCTGTTTCATGCTTTTAATTCCTTTGCTGGGTATCTTCTAAATATTTTAATGAGATGATGATAAATATTCAGTGTACTTGTATAGCACAAAGCAAAACCATTTGTGCCAGGAGTGGGGAGATCATTAGCAACAATGGCCTTGCATTGTTTAGAAACTGCTGTTCAGGATCTTAGTCCTACAAAAGCACTTTAAATGTACCATTAAGCTCTTCCTTCTTTAAGAAGAAGAGAGGGATTTACGCCTGGGATTCTGTTGAAATATGATTTCAGTTAATTTCCAAGAGCTTTACTGTAAATTGTTTAAACATCACTGTCAACAAATAGACCAACAAAACACACTTCATTTACTTTGACCTGTTTTTTTGTTTCTTCATGAGTGAAACAGTTATTGTACACCTTTCATCTATTTATTTATTATTGTGATGATCATAAGCAACAGCTAGAGCAACTAACATGATGTAGTCTTACTACACTCCAAATGGAAAGGCAGTATTGCTTGCCTTCAAAGTTTTGGACTTTGAAGCATAGAAAATAGGGCAAGATATTGCTCTTCACAGGGTGTAGACTAAGGAACAAACTGTGAATCTCACATTTTCTCCATCACTATATGTGTTAAGTTACCCCAAGTTTGTCAAAACAAACTATTTACTGTGGGTGACTTCTGCAACTGTTCTGGCTCACAGATTCTGCAAGCTAAAAAAGGGTTAATTTAGGGTAAATGAATGCACTAGGATACGAGTAAATGAAGTTGAAAAAATATTCTGGAAAGTGGGAACAACGTCATCGTATCCTGCTTCATTTCTAAGTATAATTTAGGTAGAGCTTACTTCTAGGTGAAGATTTGCTTTGCCTGCCATACAAAGAAATAAGCTTTTTTTCCCCAAAGGTTACCATCAAATCAAAGGACCAGTCAAGAGTGGAAAAGTAGAAATTGTCTCAGTCTTACAAGTTGGCACCTGAAGAATGGTGTAGAAAATGAAATTGCGTTGTGTTGCAAGGCAAATTAAAAATCAAGAATCATGAGCATTTCGTGTGTTAGCACAACTGATTTTATTTTTAAACCACTCCAAAATCCAATCATGCTCTATGTACAGAGACAATACATGAGATAGCACACCAAATATAGACATGAAAGATAAAATATATTCGATTTTAATTTGCTGACAATTTTCTTGTTTTTTGTTTCTTTTTTTTTTTTTTAATTGTACATCTGCTTAACTTGATGAAATAATCCAACCTACATGGATTCCCATGTCAACCCTTTCTCAACTCCCATGTCCGTCATATTACCTCTGGGGTGTTTGTCTGAATGGTAAAGTGCACAACTTTTTAGGTAGGTTCCTCTGGGCCTCATTTCTTGTGTAAAACTCTTTAGTGCAGAACAAGTACATCAGCATGTATCTGCTTGAACTGTATTCTATAGTTAGTAGGTAAGACCAGCTAACGCTTTGGGTTACTCAGGAAATCATAAGTAGCACATACACAAAAACAAAACCAGAAAATTGTCTTCCACATTGTTTAGAGTGCTAATTTTCTTTACATTTCCAGTGTCATTTATTTTACTAAGCACTGTTGCAATTCTTTCCTCTTGTCTTATGCTCTTATTTTCTTACAAAACAGTATACTAGGCTTTCTGTATAAAACATATATATAAACATTTTTTATATATATATATATAAAAACAAAGCAACGACCCCCAAAATGGACTTACACACAAGTATATATTTGTCCCTCATTAGAAAATATACTGTGTGTATATCTGTTCGTTGTCCCTGAATGTCATAGCACTGGTTATTAGAATGGGGACAGGAAGAAAGGGGCCTTTTTTTTCCTGGTTTGCTTTAAAACACACAATTAAACTGCTTAAGATGAACAAAAGCAGAGTAGTCACAGGAACAATCAGATCCTGTTTACATATTGGCACTATGTTGTTCTTGTTGCCATTGTTGTTACTACTCTCTAATTTGACTTCTACTTATTACTTCCCAGGAATTAACGTATCTATACATTTTTTGTCATATATTCTCTCTCCTCACAATGAGCTGGATGCAGGTTCAGGGAGAATGAAACACTAGAAAATGTAAACGGATCCTGGGACTCTGGAGATTCTTGCCCTGCTTAACTTTTCTGGCTCTCTTTTTCAGAGATTATCAATCATTTAGAAAATTAAGGTTAATTCTACATAACAAGTATTTTTTAGTGGCCTTTCCTTCCAAAAGATGCTTTTGGGTAACGATTTGAGATAGTTTTTCATATGCAGTACTGGCATTAGATACCTGCCTTGCATATTTGTATAAATACTTTTTCCAGTATAAGGTCCCCACTATTGATACAGATGGTTCTCTATCCTCAGTATCTATTATTTCAGCAAACAGGCAGGTCATTTGAACTACTTATCATTAATGAGTGATGTGCTGGGAGAACCACCCACACTAAATACACCAAAAAATTTGGTGGTGGCAAGGGAGAGGTTAAATTTCAGCCCATTTTATTTAGCTCACTCAAGTGTCTAATGATTTCCTGGTCTGAAGACTTTTTAATTGAAAAACCCGAGATATAAAAATGCTATTAAGATTGCGGACAACAAATGGAAAACCATATTGAAATAAAAAACAAAGTACTGCTTGCTGGTTTACAAGAGTCTATAACACTGATAAAATCTTCAGAAACCAATGTGCTTTTTTTTTTATTTTCCCTCGTCCTTCTTTATTTTGGCTTCATTTCAACCCGGGAGTTCATATCATCTCCTTCCAGATCATACTCTTCTACTTGGCCACTGGTCCACACTTTCATGCGATCAGTCAGGTCGCTGCTTCTGGGAGCCAGGATGAAGTCGTAAATCAGGGCAGCACTTGCTCCTCCGATGATTGGGCCAACCCAGAAGATCTGAAACACAGTTCAAACCCAGTTAATACATCAGGTATTGCCACATCTGAAGCTGTTCTGAAAATCTCCTCTGAGGATTTTCACCACAAAAATTACAGTGAAAACGTGAAAATTACAGTGAAAATGTTAAAATTACAGTCTATCACCCAAATATTTACTTAGTCACATGACAAAAACCCAGGAATTTTTCACCATGAATTGGAAATAGATCCAGAGATTAATACCTGGGACTATGTTGTCAAATCCTGATATTTGAAATTCGATATCTAGTGGTAAAACATCTCTGTTACTCTGTATAGATTTGTCAGGGGGGCACAATTTCTAAAAGCAACAATGGCATTAAATTCCATTCTCCCACTAACTTTCAGTGATAGGGGAATTAGAAAGTAATGCTTAGTGAGGACCTAATTGGGGCTTAATTTGCTACTAGCTGCTATTTATCTAGTGATAGTGCTGTAATTGCACTAGTCTAATAACTTGAAGGATGTAAAGTTTGGAGGAAGATGTAGCAGAAGTGTTTTGGTAGATGGGTTGATTTTATTAGAAATAACAGATGATTTTCAGGGATTTGCATGGCCAAAGAGTTCCTGAGTCTGAAAACATGTTTTCTTTTATTCAGCAGTATCAGTGGTTTAATATGAATTATTATCTCTACCTCCTTCTCTTTGTACAAAGGAAAATAGTTTTTCTCTGAAATCCTGAAAACACTAGCTACTAGCTCGGTTACATTACCTTAGTATCCCAATAACAGTGTTTAAGTGGCAGATAACGGCAAAATTTCCCCAGTGTCCTCCTTTTGTGTTTTACTCTTTAGATTAAAATGGCAACCATACCCAAAATTTTCACGACCTACTTTACTATCACTAAATTTTCATGAATGTCTATGCAACTGGCTGCCAAAATCATGAGTAGGAGACTTGGAACAAGCTACATTTTAAATATTCAAGAACATAATGCTCATTTAGGCCTTTTATATCAGCCTTCTTTAATGAGCTTTAGTGAAAGAAGTAAATTTTCACGAAGTTCTTCATTTTAACCACATTTAACCACAGGGAATAGTCTAAAATTCGTAGTGTTTCCAGAGCACTTATCCATGACAGCACATAAACAGATGCTTAACTTTAAGAAGATGAACACATTACTAGCTTTCAAATATTAGATGATCCATTTCAGTTTATAAACCTGCTTAAGAATCAGATTAATCTACCTGATTAAGCAGTAGAATTTTACAAACTCAGTTTAAACAACAAATACTCAATACAGGATTCTGTGTAATGAGGCTTTAACATTTAAAATATTGGAAATAAATAAACTTAAAGGGAAATAACCAAAAAAATCTACAGTATTACTTTGAACATGTACACTCAGCCTGAGGACTTTGTGACCTCCTGAGGCTGGTGAGGAGCAAAAGGAGATTATTCTTTGTTAAATGAAATAGAAATGGCAACTCACTGACTTGATGCTAATGATGTGTTTAAATGTTTCTGATCTTGCAGATTATGTATATGCAGAAATTCTTGTAAGCTAAACAAATTTATTGCACTTACCCAATGATTTTCAAAGTTGTTGGCAATCAGTGCTGAGCCAAAAGATCTGGCTGGGTTAATTCCGCAACCAGTGTAATCAATCTAGAAAGCAGAAAGAGAACCAATGGTGAGGCACTGATGCCCTTGTGACATCTTCATTACACGGGAGGGCAAGCGGCAGCCTGTAACATGGTTTGGATGCTCAAAACCGCTTCATTCATCCCACCCACCCTTCCTCAGAAAAAACAGGAGAGATTGTTTGCCATGTGCCTGTCCTGTCCCCCTAGGGAAACAGGTCCTACTGCAGTGACTCCTCCCAGATGTGCAACATCATCACTAATTGCCACAGCCACATGACTCAAGAAAGAAGGGCCATGTATGTTGCAGAAACAAGGTCAGTCTCTGAAGTGGAAGGAGAAGCAAGAAACTACCATCTGCCCATCATCTTCCTGCCTTCACTGACCCATCTTGAGGTGGTACATTGCAGATATCAACTGTGAGAGCTAAAACTTACAGCAAGAAGATGTCCCAAGGCAACTGAGAGACCGATGGCCAAAGGTGCTGATCCTGAGACGTCATTCCGTCTCCTGTCTGTGGTGGCGAGGACACACAACACCAGCTGGAAGGTAGCAATGATTTCGATACCTAGTCCTTGGCCTGCATTGATTCCCTCCGAAAGCTGCATGGAGACAGGAAGGGAAATGTCACTTGATATTCCTAACTGACTTCAACTAACATGACAAAGTATTGCAGGATCTACTTTCTCAACAGTAAAACACAGACCTGCACAGCTATTGCTCTCTTCAGGTCGCTTTTGCTTAACAAGGGGAAAAAAAGAAGACAAAAAAAAACAGTGAAGAGAAATTAGTTTTGAAACACTCACTGCTGTGCTAAAGTCTAGGCGTAACCAGCTTTTGTTGGTTATTCAACATGGTTGCGTAGTTGCTGCATCCAGCCAAAGTGAACACTTACTAGCACGACCAAGACTAGACACAATGAGAACCTAACTGATCTATGTGTGGGAAACAAATGAGCCAGAGATTCACCTTCAGTAGAGTCTACCCATAGAAGCAAACTGTGGTGCCTTGAGACATTTATTCATTGCTTCTGAGAATGAAGATCCTGTGGTCATGTTAGTTGCTCAGCTTGCCTTCAGCAACAATTGTTAAGGAAACAGGGACAGAAGGAGGAAGGAACAAACAGACAGTAAGAATAATGCATGGTTCTTGATAGTTTGAAAATACCTCTCTCTGCTATTGGCAAGTCACATTAATCTTCTCTTCTCCCACCACTATTATTTTCTGTAATTCAGTATGAACTCTTCAAAGCAAGGACTTCATGTGGACAATGTCCTGCAAAATGCTGGCCCCATGGGCAGATTTCCACATTAATATTGACACCTATACTGTAATTTGGTTGCCTGAAAATATGCCTCTAATGCCACTTGAAATACCCTGAGATATCCACAGTGTTCATGTGGGACTGGCAGATGTGACAGAAGTCCTACAGAAGACCAAAGGTATCTAAAATGTCTCTAGATGTCAATGTTTAGCCAATGTATCTCTAACTTGGATAGGTAATAATGGATGTAGTTAATGGAGGTGACATCCATTCAGCTAATGAAATCTGGCCAATCATTTGAGAGTCAACTGAATAGCTCTTTTATTCTGTATTCGCTAGATCTCATTTGACTACAACAAGAGCTTAGACACTTAACTCACACGTAGACTAATTTCAGGTGTCTTAGACTCAAACTGAATTTCGCTCAACTTCTTTGGGAGCCATAAAAAAATCCACAATTCAGGAATCCTAAGAGGCCGATGGGGGAAGTATTTCAATTTCCTACTGAAGTAAAGCAGATTCTTTAGAAAAACTCACGCTGGCAGATGTAGATATTCCAACTGTATTATTACTCATGAAATCAGTAGAGTTTCTTATTAATGTAAATGATGTAGAACATACTACTCTTAGAAACTTGTACTTAACAAGAAACCATGGAGCTAAACCATTCAATGTTATTAAAAGTTTTAAATTGTCATTCTAATTGCTATATTCAGTATTATCTCAGTTAAGACAAGAAAAGCCTATCTCTGAGCTGAATAACTTGGTGTTAACAGAAAGAACTACATTGCACGGATAGAATGAAACATGAGCTTGGACACAGGCCAGAGAAACCGAGAATGTGAGTGTCTCAGAGTAGGAAGCAAACTCTGCAAAACTTAGGCTTAAGAATAGTGCTATCAGTAGGTTATCCCATCTGTCATATCCTCTGCATTAAAAATTGCTAGGTCATACATGGCAAAAGCACAATTACATGTTATTGTGACCTGTCCAGAACAATGAAACTATGGGAAATCAAGCTTTGAATCTGTTTTTGTGGTTTTACGCCCTAATTTTCCCAAAACTAATATTTGAATAACCTTAAGACTTAAAGATGTTCAGCTGAACTCTTTTGTTTTCCACCTTTGCTATTCACTGTTCTTGTTTCTTCTCTGTAACAAAGCAGCATAGTATCAAATTCCTAAGCACCGAAAAAAAAAAAATCTGAGTTTTCAGCCAGGATGAATCTGGTTAGCTACATTAAAGATGGTGAAAATATATTGATTTCTAAGACCTGCCAGTCTGAAGCATTAATAATATATTTTTATATCTTGTTCTTTAATATGCAGGACTGATATCCTTTGAGTTAGAAGAAGTTCATCCACAAATAGAAGGGAATTATTGTAGAAATTTTGGGCATTTTTGTTCCTTCAGCATCCATCCAGTAGAAACTGAAAACAGTTGATGAAACCTTCAGCAATAGCTGTGAGAAATACAAATCTGACACAAATACATACAGATAAGCTGGCAGTGAAAATGACATGATCCACAAATTCATGCTGAATGCCTGATACCTCACTAAATTAATATTCTGTTACTTTTGTCATCTCCTTTAAAAATAATCACTTTTTTTTCTCAGCAGAGACAGTGGGATTTGTGTCTCTCAACAAATTAGACTTCAAATGCATCCAATTCATATCAAAAATAATAATATTACTTTAAGAATCTGGACTGTAGACTCTGGAAAATCTTGTCTCACATTTGGAAGGCCAAATGGTCAAACTTAAAAGGTAGGTGTATTGGTAAATAAGTAGTGATTTGTAAATGCCCAAAAGTGGATAAGAAACTAAATTCTCTTCTAAAATAACACAACTGTTAAAGCCCAAAGAATCTAGATCTAAGATCTCATGCATTGATGTTAGTATTTGACAAAGCCTTGGCATTTCACATGATTAAACACTGACCTACCATTAGTCTTTCCCTTCATTTGAAGGATTCTATAAAAGAAAAAAGACAATAAGAGCAATATTATGCTTTTAAAACCTGTGATAATCCTTATCTTTGAAAGGCGGAAATCATAGTTTTCCTTTCCCTCCAGGAAAACACATCCTACAGCTGACGTGACTTGAGGTCATTCTCCCTGCTAATCAACACTTATTGATGGGCCGTGTAGAATCAGAGAAAACCTGGAAATATCATAGGAAAGCTTTTGCTTTCCTCTAGCATGTAATTTTATGCAGCCTGCCAGGGATGTAAGATTCCACTGTGAGAGCAAGTACTCTGGGCCGTGTTCCAAAATGAGGCAAACTGAGGAGGTTCTGCTTTGCTGTGGTCTGTGGATCTGCAGTATATAAGTCATTATTTGCCTGCTTGTCAGAGCTATAGTGTCACTATGGCAGCAGCCTGAACTAACCAGGGTACAGCAACACATGGAACAGCACGAGTCTTCACCACCCTAACCACATCCCAGCCAAAGCATCATATGGGTAGTAGAAAGGCGCATTTCCTAGTATCGAGTTAAAAACTATACATATATATATATATGTGTGTGTATATGCATATATTTATATTTATACAATCCTTGGTCACAGTGGATTTGTTACGCAACTAACAATGCAATATGAAACATTTTGTACCTTTTGAATCTACTGTTTCAAGCTCTTGACAGAACCAGTTAGGCATAACCCACATGAGGTGGTTACCCTTCCGTTGTATTTCCATATGTTATTCAGTTTTTTTAAGGAAAGCTTGAATTTTTGTAGAACACTTGACTCCAGAAGCTTCAGGGCTGTCTAAAGCTCAATCTGAATCTAGTAGGACGTAGTACTATACATTACAGAGACCTGATTACCTCTCAATAAAACAAAACGCTGGTCTTAACATCTAGAATTCTGCTACAGAGAGTATCCAGAATATAGAGTGACCACATCTCTGGTTCTTAAATAGATAGAATAATGCCTTGAAATGTAAGACACAGCCACATCTAGTGTAGCGTTGTGGTGAAGAAGTCCCTTTCCAGTGACCTGTTCCCACGCTGCAATGACTTTCTTCCTTGCATTGGTAGGCTGCTTACCAGCAGTCACAACAATGTTTGCGGGTGGCATCCATGGGCTGACACTACATTTGCCCTTGATGTATCTGCCAGGAAATCTCTGACCTCTTCTCATCTCAGTCCCATAACTCTCACGTGCTCTGCATTTTAGGTGATGCTCATTAAGGCAACAGAAAAAATGTCAGAGGGCAGAGAACAGCACAGTAACTCCCTGAGCTTTTCATGCTTCAGACTTGTGAGGCTTGAAGAGTGGATTCAGTGCTTTAAGGAATCAAATATGCTCTAAGGGGTTAAAATGAAACACAGAAGCCCACATTCATCTGCAACACAGTTTCCCACAACATAAGGGGCAATCCAGATTTCTCCTTTTTTTGTTCACATGAATTGTTCCACTAAACTTCATTTCTAAGTCATCATTTTGACAGAGGAAGAACCAGAAACACACTCAAGAAATGGGTTACATAATTGTGAAGATCTGAGAGTTATATGTAGACACATATATCTGATCAGCTGAATCAATCTTGGCTGCGTTAGCTTGCACTGAGTAATTCTCCCTTGCCTGTAACAGCACCCAGACAACAAACAGAAGCCTGCATGTAGACACCCAAAGTGAGGTGCATCCTTCTGTGAGCTGAATTCCAGCATTAAAACTTGCACCTGAGGTCACTGTGAAACTGAATGAGTTCGTAGAATAAAAATCCACTGGAATTCAGTAAATTTATAGACATCACATCTCATTCAGAAAGCTCCTGAGCTGCAACTGGTTGGAACCTAAGAGAGCACTTAGGGCATTCTGAAGCTTTCTGCTTTGCATTACTGGACATGGGATGAGGTACAATACTGGTTCCCCATTCAAAGATTAGCTTTACCTGGTAATGCTACTGTTGCTCCTGAGCAACCTGGTTTGAATTCAGTGCTGATGTTGCTCTGAGCAAGAGGTTGGACTAGAGACCTCCTTAAGTCCCTTCCAAGCTGAATTATCATATAAGAGACCTTGATTCTTTGGAAAGATTATCCCTGTGGGAAGGTCTGGGACAGAATTGCCCCAAAACTGCTCTGGCTTGGCTGAGTTGATGTCTAGAAACAGCTGGTGACATATGCAGATAGTGGAGCCACAGTTGGTGGATCAATCACTGTGAAGGCTCTGCATAGATACAATCCATATTGGTGAGTGAGTCAAGAGACATGTAATATAATCAAATGAGGACCGTTAAAACCGAGGGCAAAATTAATGGAATCATTATTTAGTCATGACTGTGAGAGTAACTAGTTGAGATGAACACCTTCTTTTTGGTCTTAGGAAATAG